AAGTTATAAGAATGAGTACAATATACCAGAGTCGCTCAGCTAAAAGGTTCCTTTTGATATTTTCTAGAGGAGAGCACCAGGCATGCGAGATAATAGGATTGAAAACATACCTCAGTGGATCAAATAAATGGCTCCATCTGACATTGCCAGAAAATTATTTAAGGTGATAGACACCTAAAAAAAAGTTTAAATGGATTTTTAACGGCATATCAAATCTGAAGAGTCATTTTATGCCAAAACTTATTAATTTGGGTTTATATTTAGTAAAAATGGATAACCTTTGTTTTTTTTTAACTTTTTTTTTTTTTTTTTTTTGTTTTAATATTTTCTGATGTAATCTTATTGTATGCCTTCAACTACAGAAGATGTAGTGTTGGTAATTCTACGATTCTATTTTTATACTTTCATAGAGTTTTGTTTTTATTTGGGGGTTCACTATTTGCCCATACCTGGGACCCTAACAGATGCTACCACAACGGGATATGGTGGACCTGGGAACACCAGTATTTAAAAGGTGGTTCCACGCTCCTCAAAACCTCCAATCTCACAATCAGAGACCTTGCTACCGGATGTGGTTTATAGTCCTACCCAGGATTACATTAGAGAGATAATTTATTTTTTGGAGAGCCATGATTACTTATTCACATCCTGAAAGGACATAGTTCACCCTATGTTAAAGCTGACACGCTATGCCGGAATATTACCCCTAATCTGAACCTCCTTTCTCCAATCCAAGGAATACTTCAGTCTATAAAGGATAAATATCGATCACCTTTCTTGAAGCATATGTCAGATGTGAGACCATTGGAATATTTACGAAAGAACTTTTAATATAAAATATATATTTCTAACAGTCATAACGCTTTAAAGTTACGAGATGTGCTTAATTAGTTTGTCAGGTAGATTGTTGAATTATTATGACGTGATCTGAAGATTTATTGCGTAAAATACACAATTGTGGCAAAAGGCCTAAAAAGTGGGGAATGGGGTTGAGGCTGGTCGCCACTTGCTATCCTATACCTAGCAAATCCGATTCACGACCCATTCATTCGCTACAATTGACACATTCACCACAAAATCTCATCCATCGCCAATCAATCCTCTATATACCATAATGCCGCATACTCTCGGGGTGGGGGCGTACCTACAAAACGTACCCCATGAAATAAAAATTTAATTTCATGATTATAAAATGCTATACATAAAAATTTGTACATGATATAAAATGAGAGGGGAGGGGATGAACCCAAAAAAACAAACTAAAATATCAAAACAAATAAATTAAAGATAACTGATGTTAGTTGAACCCGTCCAGCCCTTAAAAAAGAGAGGCCACTGTATTCTGCCCTACGACAGAATCAAGAGGCCCTCTCGTTAAGGGAGAGGGAAAGAAGAAAATATATGACGTGATCTCTGTTGATCTGGCAACACAGTTTTTGGATGCCGGAAGATCGGTGGTCTATTTACTTTATGCAATGTGTTTCAACTTTTAGTTATTTGAGTCTTGCAATATATATATATATATATAAGTTCGTTAACTTGCAAATCCAATTCTGTTCCTATCATGGCAGCCATCTTGAAGATGAGGTCACAACAAAATGGCGAAAACGATGTAGTCAGTGATCAGATTCACGGTAGAAAAATTAATCTTCATCACTCTGTGGTTGATGACGTTATTTATTATGAAATTTTGAACAAGAGCTGTTAAATTAATTTGTCTTCTTTCCATGGAACTCAAATTACGAACCACATTCTCTTCTTTACCGTTTCCGCTGTCGTAATTAAATCGAGGTTATTCAGATCACGACATGCTACGATCTGTTTGATTAACACTACATTTTTTCCATTTTAATAGTAATTGCATAAATTCTATGTCACAGATATGACGTAAACGGAGAATAAGTTTTTTTTAATCGCTACTTTAAAAACAAAAGGCAATAACAAACTTTTTACAGAGAAATGAATAAGTTATAACTTGAATCAACGAAACTGAGTATTTGCATTTCTTCTTGGGACACTTCGTCTTTGTTTCTTTTGTCATTTTAGCGATTAAAGCTCTGGTGTTGTGTAATGGTTAGTCGTATGGAGAAGGACTTTAGCGTGCAGAGTTCGAAGTTCGTCTGAGGCGGCTTATGTTCCCTTTGAATGTTATCTGGGAAAAGATATCCCTGCTCTCTTTCATTGTCAGATATCGTTAGAAAAGTCACGTCACTGCCACGGGGAAGAGTAAGCACTCGAGTAAACTACTTTTCTATCTTTACCTACCCACCAAGTAACAACAGTGAAGCTTTTACCCTTATAATCAATCTCGACTCTGACCCGATCTCGATTTTCTTTTTTTTTTTTATTTCAGTAGGTATAATTATTTGTAAAAGATGAATGAGTAACATCACCTGGACTTTTTGCTCGTTTAAGCTAAAATACTCACTTTTTCTTCGTGATTATATATATATATATAAGGTAAAAATCCATGGGTAAGTAATCTAAGTGAATCCTAATAATATATAGTATTAAAGCTGATCCACAAAGAGAGCTCAAATGTATTTATTACAGAGCAATATAAATAAATTACATATAAAGGAAATTTAATACCCCATCTGTATGGCCATTTCACTCCAGAAGAAAATTGATTTTCAGAGGTTTATCAACACCAAAAGGTTTTGAAGATAAAGTAAAATTAAAAGGAACCTTAAAGATTTTAAAACTTTAAAGAAACAGGAAGGAAGATGAAAGCAAATCTTTTTATATTGCACTGTAATAAATACATTGAGCTCTCTTTGGGAATCAGTTTTAATATTTTATGTTATTAGGATTCACTTGGATTACTTACACACGGATTTTTACCTGTATATATATATATATATATATATATATATATATATATATATATATATAAAATACCCTATATTGATTGCACAACTCGGAGTTTCATGCTGTCTGCAATCCTCAGATGCCAGTTTTGGGTTTACACCGTTTGTTTAATATTTCTAGTTATCGCGATATATTTTATTGTGAGGGTGGATTATTATTGTTGCTGAGTATTTAAATGAATTGTAGTTTATAATCAATAACACCTATGAAAATACGTAAAATGAATAGAATTTAACAGCAGGCGGAATTGTTGTCAAGAAAGTGCTCAATAGAAAACTAGAGCGGCAATAGTCAATAAATTAATAAAAGATCAATCGACTTATCTTTAGACCGATTATATGCATTATATACTCTGTGTGTGTGTGTGTGTTTGACCTGGATGAGCGGTGTGTCTGCGAAAACGGCCGAAAGTTAAGTTGATTGAACTTTTATTAATCTATTATTTTCGCTCTAGTTCTCTAGTGAGCATTTTTCTTGACAAAAATTCCGTTCGCCTTGATATACGTTTTAATTCTAGTAATTCTATATATTTTCATGGGTGATTATATATATATATATATATATAATGTATGTATATCTGAAAAACTGACTATCATTATTGTTTCGTCCGTTTATTGGTTTATATATTGACAAGTAATTGTCATCTTTGATAATGGCTTATGTAAGCCGAAAGCTTAGATTGGATTTAAACATGTATCAATATGGTGATTTCCTTTCGTCTTTCAATGATAATGTTATTAAGCTTATCAGACAACATGAAATGAACTTACTTAAAATACATTGACAAAACTTGTCTATATTATTTAATGAAACATGCATCAATGAAAAATTGCTGCCTATATATATATATATATATATATATATATGACACATTTTTGTAGTTTATCACAATAGAAGGTAAATCGTCTTTAAGCAAAATAACGTCGTGTCGGATAATAACAAAAATTAATAAAAACACTATCCACGAAAGTTACAAGTTTCAGCCATTGCCATTAAAGAGGAGTTTTTTTTTTCATAACTATCTAGTCTAATTCAAGATTAAATTTATCTTGTAGCAACGCGCATGCGTAGCAAAAATATGCGACCAGGTTGAATTGATTTTGTCTAGCACAATTGAACATTTCCATACATTATTTTCGGCAAATAATATATCTCGCCTACACCTCGAGACATCTAAACAGTTTCCTGACACACATTGTGACGTCTCTATGTTTGTGATTTCTCCAACTACTCTGAGCAGTTATTACCAAAATGGAAAACGGTGTCTCATTTTATCATTCATTTATTTTACTATGTTATTTTGAGTAATCGCTCGCGGCACACTTCGCTCTACGTATCTTGCACACACACACACACATGTATATGTGTGTGTGTGTATTTGGGCAGCAATCATTCTTTTCACTGAATGTGACGGAGCATTTAACATTTTATAAATTTTATGCATATCCAATTATAAAAGACGTTTAAAGACAATAGATTTAGATATAATTTTTTATAAATCTATTTAAGCCAACTCACAATATTACACGATTTGAAACAAGTCGGTCGGAACGTATTCAGTCAGTTAAATGCCATACGTGATATACGCTTGGACGATCATGTCTCTCTTGATTCATAACTGACTAGGCAGAAGGTATTCCCGCAGCAGGTTGCCGTTCCTTTCTATGATAGGCTGGTTTCCCCAGTGAAAAAAAACTACTGATGTATTTTAAAGAAACAAAGGAGCCCTTGCTTTTAGTTTATTCAAGCCATAGCTGGGAGGAGGAGAAGAGCGGGATTCATATCTTTCTTAAGGGTATTTGCATGTAAGTGAATGTGACGAATCCCATTGGGATTCGAACTCTGCTCTCGCATTCCGAGCCGATATCCATTACGCCACTACACATATCCCGGTGTTCTAAAGGCACCCCCAACATGGAATTACTACTACTACTATCCAGCAGGCATTAGAATTACTACTACACATAGCTTAGAACATAACACATTTTGGTTGGCCAAAATGTTTGTTCGGTTATTAAATAGAAATTTCTATATAGCACACATAGGAGAGAATATCTGAAATGACTTGTGCAATCCAAAGCATAAATATACAACGTTATTAGAATTACTTCTCATCCCGACTAAAGGCTTACGGCCGCATCACGCTGAAACAACGGTTCCCATATGATCACGGAAGTTAAGCACCATCAAGCCTGCTCAGTATTTAGATGGGTAACCGCTTGGGAATAATAGGTACTGTAAACTTGGGCGTTCGGCTGGTGTAATGAATAATGGCTCGGAATTGTTAATTGGAGAGCCAAGTTCTAATTCCCATTGGGTTCGTTGTATTCACTTACTCGCAAATATACCTTCGGGAAGGTTTGAATTCATCTCTTCTTCCCCAACTATGGGTTAATTTGTAAGACTTTTATCACTAAACCATTATTATACAATCTAAAAATCTACAATCTAAAATATTTTCTTGCTTAAATAACCTGCAATGGGTTGATAATCCATAAAAAAACGAATCAATAAATCATTACCACTACTTTATATACTCTTTGTATCCAGACCATATACGTGTTCTTATAAACCAAATATAACTTTAATATCTTATAAAATAAAACCCGCTGGATTTATTGGGAAGATAATTTTTCACTATTTTTCATTTCTAGGGGTTTTTTTTAACTTTAAAAAGCGGACTGAAAAACGAAAGCCCGTGTTCGTTATCTCGTTATAAGTACTTTAAAATTTTCTCTCACTTGTTTCTGGAGGTTTAACTGGACAGGTATTCAAAGTCAACGCATTGAACTTTCACCTTCTCCCCCTTCTCCTCTTTATTTATTTATTTATTTTGTCTTCTATTTCCCAATAGGTCCGGGCCCGAAATTTATCGGCCATATCTTTCGTTTAAAGGCGCCGACCCTCTGTTTCAAGAAGAGAGTTTAACTACCTGAGACCCTCTTTCCGGTTAATCATTCGGGTCAGGTAGGAGATCTGTTATTTGTATCTCGTAAAAAACCTAAAACTGCATCTTTCTTGTTTTTCTCTGTCATCTGTTCGCTCTATTCGATGCCATTACAAATGTTTTGTCAAGAAAGGATGCCATTGACTAATAAACAACTAACTAAATGTCGCTAAATTTTTTATTTGGTGATGTAAAAAAAACAAAAAACAACTTCAGTCTCCTTTTTTTTTTCTTCTTTTTTTCTCTCTCTGTATTCGATCTCGATATTCTAACTTTACCGCTTAACGGGACCAACTTGAATCTTTTGTGCGAATTCTCAAAATAAAATGCTCAAAAAACTACCGATGTATTTTATAAAATAACAAAAGCCCCTGCTTGTAGCCCAATTGGTCTTACTCAATAAAAATTCGAAAGTTCTTCGTAAAAACAGGGATTAAACAAGATTAAGAGTTATGATTATAGTTCTTGCTTTTTCTACTATCCTTCATCCAATGCAAGGCCCAAGAGCCACTGAAGGTAGAAGCTTGCTAAATGAGGTTGTTGTAAAGGCGTACAATTGTCGGGAGTACAAGGTGCATATTATAAGTTAGATAGCGGTTGACTCTAGAAGAGGTTAAGGTTGTAGTGATCGGGGAAGCATCCCCTTGGGAGTCCGTTCCACATTGTTGAACTTTCTCAGCACCAATGGTATACGAAAGGAATGAGGACGAGTCAACTTCATGAATGTAAGATGACGGATCCTTAGATTTATAGGTCTAGACTGGTGGAATAAAGGAATGTAGTTCGCCCAAACATCTTCCATTAAAATAGTGACAGACTAATGGGAAAGTGGTGGTATAGTGGGAAACAATCACACAGTAGACCGTGCAAACGCTTTTGAACTTTGTCGATGTTGGAAAGTGGAGATTGGGCAGCTCCAGCCTAGATGTAGCAGTAATATTCCATTTTTTAAAATTCTATTTTATTTTTGTTGCCTTTTATCACAACACTTTCAACCATTAGAAAAAGCAGCAAAAGATCGGGTAAAAATAGACATTGTTGAGACTCGAATTCATATCCAATAGCAGGGGAGCCCGTCTTACATGGGCGTTGCCTAACCGCTTCGACCGCAGAAGTTTGAATTGATGCAATATCGAGCTTTGTTTTTATTATTTTAAGCCATGCCCCTTCAGAACGTACGTGATCATGGCTCTCAACAGATTCCTTTCATTTGTTATCTGTGAATTTCCATGCATTCTTGGGAAAGACTGTAGATTGGTTTATTGTTAACATCTTGCCAGTTTTGAAATTCAAAGTTTTACTTCTTTTAGATTGGTTGCCACCCAAGGCTGAAAAGTTCAGTCTACCCTGCTATTTAACCGCTTTGCTTTCACTTTATTAAGCGACGCGTAAATCTGTCGTCTTCCTGCCATCGAAGTGTATATCGACTATTTTTTAAGAGCCATATGCCTTCAGAATGTACGTGATCGTGGCTCTCTACAGATTCATTTCCTTTTACTATCTACTATTTTTTAAAGATTTAACTAAGTAAGGCACAAGGCTTTACTGAGGGAGAATCTAATGAAGAATGATTCACTGGGAATGGCTTGTAAAACGATGTTAATCATAAATCTGAAGTAGTTCCCTATGTTCGGTTATATTTAATATAAAAATATTTTATCAGTGGACCGGAAAATATATTAATTTCATTTAATAGATATTTCCTGAAATTATTCAATCTTGACACAAGATACTTCAGCGGGAGAAAAACAAAAAAAAAAAAAAAAACGTTCTGATGATAATTGAATTTACATCTAATTGCAGCGGAGCCCATCTTACATGTAGGCTGCCTAACTACTTCGGCCATATAAGTTTTAATTGATGTTGTATTGAGTTATTTTTTAAGCCATGTCTTTTCAGAACGTACGCGATCATGGCTCTCCACCTTTCCTTTATTTTCTGTGGATTTCCACATATTGGGAAAGACAGTAGAATGGTTTTCTGTTGACATTTCCCCAGTTTTGAAGTTTTCCTATTTTTAGATGGGTTGGCACCTAAATGCTGAAGAGTCTGCTATTTAACCCATAGCGGGTGGTGGAGGTTGGGAAAAGAGATGGATCTATATCTTTCCCGGAATTCAAACTCTGTTCGCTGATTTTACTTTCTACGCCGATGACCGTCACGCGACAGACACACCCTCTATCGATCAGAGTGTTGGGATAAAAAAAAAAGCAACCATACTCAGATGGGGTAAAGCTAATAACAATGAATCGACTACAATGTTATAGTGATTTTCTAAGCGTAGTTTAGATGTGGCACAAGGCCAAAAGTATGAGTTCTAGCGAGACAAGCTTGCCAACCGTTACACCACGTCGAGGTGCATCGACTACAGTATTATGATAAAATAACTAAGATGGAATTAAACGAATAATCAAACAGAATAAGATATATATCGGTAACGCATCCTTATTTCTCCAATTTGGGATAATAAAATATTCCTTCATTAATAACAATAGGCATTAATCACCGCTCGTAAACTAGTACACCTCGTGTCAATGCAATTTACATGTAGGACGGAACAATAGCCTGGTGAATTAAAGCGTTCGTGAATTTGGTGACATAGTAATTTTAAGTTCAATCCTCGTGTCGGGCAGTGTATACTTGTACTAAGTGGAAAAAGAGACACGCATTAACTGATCAGGACTAAATAAGAACTAGCCGAGATATCCCTGGACATGAACAGCAGTACAAGATCATTCTACTCCCGTAGATTAAATGAAGGGTTCAATTCGAAATTCAAGGTTACCCGGATTGACGATGATCACAACAGTCGAAACGTTGTGATAATAATAACAAAGATGAGGACAAAAGTTCGCGTGTAAATAATATAAATAAGACGGAATATCTTAGTAAGTAAAGGGATGCGTTGCTTTTCATCATTTTTGTTTCATGGTAGCTTTCTTTGATGATTTTTACTTTAAAGAGAAAACGCTTTGTTCTTTATTATTTCACCACCAAGCAAGTCGATAATACCACCAGGAGGCAAGCGAGTGAAAGACTAGTAAGGTGAAAGGACAATAAAAGAACAGATTTCTTAAGCATTTCACCCCAAGCAAGGCGGGAAGCCACTAAGACGCAAGGGGTTACAGAAGATTTGGGGCAAGATCAGATAGGAGTAATAGTGGAAAGGATGAGAAGAAGGATAGTGGATAGATCAAGGCAACTGGAGATGTCGATTGACATTACATTTGAATAGTTGGAGATTATAGCTCTCAGGGAAACTGGAATAGGGAAGGGAGTTCCATAGGCGAGAGATACGAGACATGAAGCTATTGGAGTAGAAGAGACGGCTATATTTAGTAGTTTCGACAGTGAAAGAGTGAGAGCGGGATGCCAGCCTTGTAGGGCGCTTGAACTCATGAAGTCTGGGAACCAGCGAATGCAGCTCCTCGGAGCAATTGCCATGAAAGTATTTGTAAAAAAGACAGAGAGAGGTGACGGCGCGTCTGTGAGAGAGTGACTGTAGACGAGATGCCAGAACAGGGCCAATTATATTGCATATCCGCCTCTGGATCTTATCAAGAACCCCGAGGCAAACAGAAGGGGCTCCAGACCATATATGGCAGCAATACTCCATGCAAGGGCGAATTGTTGATTTGTAGATCTGGATGATCGATTCCGGGGAGAAAAATTTCCTGGCGCAGCACACGGAGCCAACTTTCCTTGCGGTGGACGAAGCAGTTGACTGAATGTATTTGTTCTATCTCGAGTCAGCAGTCAACGTAAGACCGAGCAGCCGCAGAGAGGTGCTCTCGAGAAGTTGAGCGTCAGACATTCTAATGGAGGACAGTGAAGGATCTCTGTGGTGATTAATAGAGAGCAGTTTTGTTTTTAAGGCATTAAAGTTGACCAGCCAATTGAGGAAGAAAGAAGATGGCGATTGATGTTGTATTTTTTTTAAAGATTGTAGTTGGTAGGGAAACAAGAATCCGGAAGAGAGTTCCACAGGCAGGAAATCGTGATAAGAAATTATAAGAATAGAAATTATGGTTTCATCTAGTTGTTTCAACAGTAAAAGAATTAGACCTAGTTGCCAATCTAGTAGTATGTTTTATATCATATGGTCGAAGTATCAAAGAGGAAAGCTTATTAGGACAATTACCATTCAAATATTTATAGAAAAGACACAGAGAAGGCAGGTCACGGCGGTGGAAAAGTGACTGAAGTCGAGATACCAAGCCAAGACCAATGCACGACCGAATGGTAGATTTGTAAATGTGCAAGATGGATTCAGACGATAGAAATTGTCTTGCAC